CCATATATTCACTGGAGCATGGTCAGACTCCCAGGGGACAGTCCCTTAAAGAAAACTGAGTTCCTCGCCCCCCCGGTCCCTTCCCCACCAGAAGCCATCAGTTGTGGAGAGCCACATTTCAGTATCTTCATCACAATTTTTAAGAGCTCTCTTCACTGGCTTTCTGTCTAGACTGTTGCTTTCTGGGGGTGGGGTAGGGGTTGTCACAGAAGCCTTCTATGTCCCTCTTTCTCAACTGTGAGTCTGCAGTCATCAATGTCACTGCTTCCTTGCCTTTTATAGTCATCAGGAGCATGGGTTACAGACGTCCACATGGTCCCTGCAGTCATCACATGCCGTGGACCTCAGCATGGTCTCCTGCGGCAGTACAGACCATGGACATCAGCCTAGCCCTCTGCCGCAGTGCAGGCCATGGACACCATCATAGCCCCCCTCCCCGCCCGGTGGCAGCACAGGCCGAGGACATCAGCATGGCCTTTGGTGGTGACACAGGTCACAGATATTAACACATCCCCAGTTGTAGTAGGACCACGGACCGCAGCACAGACCACAGACACCATCATGGTCACAGGACATAAATATTAACATGGTTTCTGCCAGCAGCACATATCATGGACGTCCGAGTGAGCACCCAGTGTTCTTAACCATTGAACTATCTCTCCAGTTACTTCAGTCTTTTGTTTAATTTTTCAACATAAAGTTTATTATTAGTGCGTGGGGCCAGGCCTACATACAGGCAGCGTAAGTGAGGACAGAGGACAGCTATATGGACCTGATTCTTTCTACTTTTGTGTGAGTTCCCAGGGGTCAAACAATAGATTGCATCTTTGTTTAGCGATAGCATTTACATGCTGAGCCATCTTGCTAGCTGTGCGGCTATGTTCTTAAGAGACTGTAAATGCCATTAGTGTCCAGCAAGCACCCATGGAATGAATGGATTTACCTTAGTCCGCAGGTTTGGGAAACGCCAAAGAAGAGGCAGACGCTCCTCCTACCCAGGGTCTGTCCCCACACCTTCTGTCATCACTCTGTGGAAGTGACTGAAGGGCCTCCAAACTGGGGTCAGTCTGGGCACTGATGGGGATCTGGGGTGCTCTGTTTTGGCGGCCCACAGCTTGGTCTGCAGGAGAGGGGGCTGGGACTCCCCCTAGCTGGAAAGAGACTGAGCCCTTGGGGGGTCTCGAGGGTCTGGCACACAGACAGGGCATGTGTGCATGCACACACCCTGTGAACATTTAGAACAACTCCTCCCAGCGGTCACGGCAGACGAACTAAAATAGCTCTACACTGGTCATTGAAATGCCCCAGCCTTCCTGCTTCCCTCAGCCTCTGCATCTCCCTCCAACCCATACACAAGAGCCAGTCCTAGACTAGGACTCCCCTGCCCACTAGCCAGCATCCTTCCTGCCATCACCCCAGTACTCCGCCACTGCCTTCCCCAGGGGCTGGAAGGCACAGTCCTGCCTGATCCAGGCACTGCTGGGCACTGCCAGGGGACCCTTCCTTCTGTCCAGAATGTCCATGTGTCAGTCTTCTGCACAGCATGTCCCTCGCCTGGACCATGGCAGGAGAGATGGCAGCCCGGAGGTGGTGCCGTTGTCCATGGGAGGCCTTAAAGGATTTCAGGAGCTCAGCAGCCCAGGCAGAGGGTTTGGAGGGCCAGCACCCTAGGATCTGAGATGGGGCACATCAGGGTTTAGGGGGCCAAGAGCAAGTCCCCCCTGACAGAGCTTAGTAGGCCTGGAAGGAGAAGGAAGAACTGGGGCGGATAGGGTTGCCATGAGAGGCCGCAGTGACCAGATGGCACACAGGAGTGCTTGTGAGCCTGACAACATGGCACAGCCTGGGGTTTTCCCAGGCTCAGTGGGAACCCAGATTTCCTCCCAGTAGGCAGAGCTGTGGGGCTGGGGAGGATGGGCAATCCTGGTATCTGCCTGGGGACTGCTCAATCATTGATTCACAGCCTCTTCCTGGTTCCAGGCTCCCCTATGGAGTCATTCCCCGGAGTTTAGACAGCAGAATGTATGGACGGCATATCATCCTGGGGCATCTGGTCACCGGGTCATCTCCTCGACTTCCTCCTCCTTCCCTGGACAGGGGTAGAGGCCCAGGTGGCCTTTAAAGAAGTGTGGCTTCCAGTTCTGACTTTGAAGCCCCTAAGCATGAGGCTTTAGGCAGAGTGGACAGATCAGAGCTGTTAAACTCAGATGTACCCCACACTGTGATCGTGTCATGCTCCTGAGTGTTTTCTATGTGGAACCTACCATAATCTACGCCTGCTCTCAATACACTGACAGCTGCTCCTCCCGTGTGTGTTTGGGGAGGGGGTTTCAACTCCTTAGACAGTCTCAGTACCTCACTCAGTTCCTCTAGTCTCGAGGCCGAGAGGCTGGAAACAAGAGACCCACCCTTTGTACTGTCTCCAACCCCAGGGGACTAAAGGATCCCTGGCAAAGACCTTGCCTGGAACTCTCTGCTCCCCACAGGCAGACCACAGAGCAGGAACTCTGTCCACCTGGCAGCCACCCTCCAGCCACTTCCACAACCCTAGCATTCCTGCATTCCACCTTCAGACTGGATACTGGGGTTGCCGGGTGCCAGACACCTTGCTGAGGGTCTCACACCACTCTGCTAAATCCAACACTTCAGCAGTCAAAAAGAAGATATTGAGAATCCTGCCCAGGGTCCTGTAGCCTCCCCCGAGTTCAGTTAGCCACTCTCGTCACAGCAACAGCGGCTCTTCCTCACAGGGAAGGTGGGCTACCCCAGTCTCCCTGCAGTCTAATGATGAGGCCTGTCAGGCCTCATATGGACTGAGGCCCATATCTGATGCAGGCCCCTGATTAGCTCAGAACTAAACCAATTTAGCTGCAACTGCCATCTTGCCCAGCAAGCTCTCATAGAACAGGCTGTGAGCAGGAGCAGACCCCAGCGACCTCGTGACTAGCCTTTCCTCACCTGTTGTAAGGAACAAGGCTAGGTGTCCTTGGCATAGCTCCACTGTGCAGCAAAGTCATCAAAAGCCGCCCCTCTCCCAGCTAGGGCAGGACACTGACCGTCTTCACCTCAGGCTCTTTAGTCTCTGAGAAACAGGATTCAGGCACCTGCCATTTCAGCACTAACTGCCGGGTAAACTTGAGGACCCCATTGCATCAGCCACTGGCCTTTCCAGGACACTGTCGGCAACAAGCTCAGCTTCTGTGCCTGCTGCTTGTGGGGAGCACACAGCAGGCTCCTTTTAGTTTTTTGGCCCAATGACAGGAAAGCTGTCAAGGGTTTAGGAAAGGCACGGAGCAGCCTTGAGTTATAGAGTGCAGGCAGTCACACCGTCCCCAGCGCTAAGAACAGGGCCAGGCAGCGGTACCTGTGATGCTGACAGAGCTTACCCTTTTTGCTTTCCACCAGGAAGCTCAGAAGTAGAACAATCCATGATTTGTCATAACCTTGAGAGCTCAACAGATTGACTGATTGTGCTGAGCTGAGGAATCTAAGGCCCCAGTGAGTGGTGTAGTCCATTAAGTATGTCCAGAGAGCACCTAGGCTGAGGAAATGGATCTGATTGATTGGTGATGTCTGCTGAGGATGTAGAGTAGTCTAGGTATGTTGTATGCATTTGCAACCTATGGGCCACTAGGTTTTTATTTCTCCCCAGTCCACACGTCCTAGATGTAAAAAAAAAAAAAAAAAAAAAAAAAAAAAAAAAAAAAAAAAAAAAAAAAAAAAAAAAAAAAAAAAAAAAAAAAAAAAAAAAAAAACCATGTAATTTACTTGTAACGTTTTATGGCCTATTATTGTTGTTTTGTTGTGTTTATTTGTTTACTTTTGAGACGGGGTCTCCTTTCCCTGTCTTGGAAGTAGAGATTCTCCTGCCTCTGCCTCCTTAGTGCCCTGTGCTCAGCTTTATGTTTTAATTTGTCACTTTGTGGTGCATGAAGGGTATCAATGGGAAAAGCTGAGCCAGCATTATTCAGAAACTGTAGCCCTGGAACATGGTAAGTGTTCACCTAGGTCTCAGAGAAGACCCCACACTGCCCTGCTAAACCCTGCCTTCAAAAACAACAACAACGAGTCCTAGAGGTTGAAGTCCCCAGAGAACTCAGCATCCTGAGACCCTAGCCTGGTATAGAGGGAAACTGTGGGTCTGACCGTGAGGTTACACATATGGACTCTGACCACAGAAAGTCTCTGACCAGGCTCTCCAGCCGAGCCCTGCCCACTCCTCCCTCTTTGGCTCACCAGTGGCTCAGTCTCCCAGTCCCAGTTAATCTAAACCAACTCAGGAGTCACTTCCTGGATTGCAAGCATGCAGATTCCTTGTCCCCTCCAGCTCTGCGGCTCACAGGATCTTGAGCCCTGGAGTCTGCATTGTCCTAAGTGTTCCCACTGGCTGAGAGAATACCAGATTTGGGGCAGGCCAGGTGCCAGCAGTTAACAAGAGCCTTTGGGTCCCTGGGCTCTTAAAAATGGGACAGCAGCACCCCCTGGTGGGTCCTGCTGTAGCATCTCCCTGCATAGCCCCTCTCTAGGAGGACAGGGTCCCTCCCCTGGAGCCTGCCCTTCAGGGACCTCCGGGGCCCACAGCTGGGTGGAAGAAGTGCCCACTGGCCTTCCCTCCCACCTCCCATCTGCTTCTGTGTGTGTGCTTCCTCGTCACGCCATCTGGCTCAGAGTTTTTCCAGGTTGAATATGCCAAGGCTGTGAGGGACAGTCCATTCAAAAGGCCCTGGGTCGCACATCCTACTTGCTTTATTGTTATGAAAAGTTTTTATCTGTGAGTCTTAATAGAAACCTGGTGCTCCAAAGAGGTCAGCTGTACTGTGGCTTCCTGGCTCTATACAAACCCACTGCCAAGCACATGGACCCAGGTCTTTGAGGAGGAAGACCAGTGAAGGTGAACACAGGAACTCCATATCATGCTTTTGGGGTCATCCCCATGTCTCCCTCCAGCCACCACCATGTCCTCTCTATCCCCTAATTTAGGACGCCACCACTTCAGGCTGTATTGTTACAAATCCTCATTTAATAGTTGATTTCAGAGCTGAGCACATGGAGGCCCCTTCCCAACCCTGCAAGGCACAGCCTCAACCACCCTCAGCCCAGGGGACAGGGAACAGCTGCCGAGAAACACCAGTCCAGCTCCTCTTTTTCTGGTCCACAGACAACTCAGGTCCTGAGCCATACCTGAGATACCCATGTCCATAAGCAGTTGGGTCCCTTATCAATGAAGAACTCACTAGAGGCTGCCTGGGGTAGTCCCCCAACCCCTGCTGAGCTGAGCTGCTGGGGATGGGACTATAAGGTGTGGGGGAAGAACTGCCTACTCTCGCTGTCTCCCACAGAAACATGTTAAACCCATAAAGAAATTATCAAGGTAGTAGGGGGAGTCACTAACCTTTCCTGTGGCCTGACCCTTGGACATCCATGGGGACTACAACCACCCTCCATGGTATTTAATCTAATATGACTTAAGGGTGGGGACCCAGCCATCCTGTACAGCAACACTGGGAGTCATTTCAAGCTGTTAAGAGACCCCAGACAGTAAGAGGAAGAGCCACAGAAGATCCGGGACCCCATACTGGAAGCAAAGAGGCAGGGAGTACGGTCCAGGCCCAGAAAGTCCCTGACACGGCCCTTGCTCAGGAGGGGCCAGAGGCCTTAGTGCTGGATGGAGCATAGGCCATGGGGGAAAGAGCCAGTGAGGCCCCATGGGAGGCTGAGGGTGGAGAGACACAGGACAGAGGGAACGCCAACAGCCTCAGTACTTGGGGACCTTGCTGTAGTCTTCAGAATGAATGTGCCGGCACAAACAGATGGACAACAGCAGCCCCAGAAGCTGGAAAGGACAAATGGAAGTCAGCATGGCCAGCCCAGGTCCCAGGACCCTAGCCCCCAGCTCAACACTCCAGTAACAAGCACCTGAGACAGGCAGGGTGCTGAAGGGGATCCAGAGATGGGCAGTGCCCTGTCTGGTGTCACTCAGCTAGATGGGCTGAAGTCACCACACCTCTAGAAGTCCGGGCACCACTCAACCCCACAGGATATCAGTGCAAGCGGGGGTGGGGCAGAGAATGTGAAACAAAGCTCAGGGGAAGGCTTGGGGAGGGACAGACCTCAATGACAGCAACACCGACACACACGCCCAGGAGGATGGTGAGGTTCTCCTGCAGCCACGTCTGCACCTTCTTCATGCACCCCTGTGGGAAGATTGCATGTCAGCCTACATGCCCCGCAGCAGGAGGCCTTCCCAGGGCTCCCTGACTTATGAGCAGACCCCTCATATGCACGTAGATGATGGTGTGAGCAAAGAGGGAGGCGACTGCGGAGGGAAAGAAGCCCGAGTGCCGGCCTGGGCACGGCTAATGTCTGGAGCACCCACCCTCTCCGGGTGACCACCAGCTCCACACCGACGCACCTCCTCGTGCACAGGCCAGTCGTCTGGGTTGTTTCTGTCCAGGGTGCTGTTGCTGCAGAACCCCTTCTTTACAATGTGCTGGTTGTCCTCTTCCTGCACTTTCTCACAGGAGCAGGGGTACAGAAGCTCTGTCGAGTTCTGGATTTCCCAGTTTTCTGTCCAGTTGTAGAAGCTGGTCCAGCCACAGCACTCCACCTGTGCAGAATGGGGACAGGCTGTTCGATCCACCACTCAGCCCATCCCAAGCAGCCCACCTCCGGGGAGACTCAGACTGGCCACCTCTACATCCCCTGAACCCCTGGGGAAGTGTAGCCTGTTTGCTGAACTTAGGTGCTATGCATCAGGAGGCTTTTGAGAAGTAGCACAAACTACAAATACAGCAGCGAGTCCAACAGGGAGCAGTCAGTAAATGCATATGGGGTGGAGGAGGTGAGTTCAAGGGCAAGACCAGTCTGCACAAGCTTATGGGGTGTAGGCCTGGCAGGTGGCAAAGCTTGAGCATGGAGTCTGGGGTCAGGTGCTGGGTTCAAACCCCGGTTCTTCCACTTCAAGCTGAGCCGAGGTTTCCACAAATGAAGAACAGGAGCTAAGGTCGGTATGGGGTGAGGCAGGTTATGTGCACAGATGGGTACAGAGAGCCCAGAGACAGTCAGTGCCAGGGCTGCCTCTCAGTGCTCACTCAGCACCAGCAGCTGAGATCTGGCGCTGACTCCCTGACTGTCAGAGAAGAAGGAGACAGGACCGATTCTTCTGTCCTGTCACAAAATGCTCTCATTCAGAGGGCAGAAAGCCTTTCTGGGATGTAAGCTCAAGCTGCTATCTGCGCGTCCCTTTGGGGATCAAATGGGAGCAACTAGTATCTATTCTGACATCCTTTGGGCCACCTCGTGCACCCAAGCTCAGACCTGTGGTAGCCAGAAGGGGGCGCTCCAAGCATGCACAGAGGAGCTGAATTCTAGGTTGTCTCCCCAGCTGTCAGTTCTGACAGAAAGGCTGGAGCCTCAGGGGTGGGCCTCACAGGCTCTTTCCCACTGAGCAGACAAAGGGAGGCCTCGCTTATTCTGTGACACCTGGAAGGGACCACCTTTCCAGGGCCAATAAACAAGAGTCAGCCCATGAGCCCAGGAGCTGTCTCCGAGGCTGTGCTTGGGGGCCAGGGGCACTTGTGTTCCATCCCCACACATCCTCGCTGTGCAGACATCACACTGCAGGTGTGCACCACCCACGTGTCACCACCAGCCATCCTTACCTGCGCCTGCACATAGTCCCAAGCCTCCTGCAGGCTCTCCTCGCGGCTGCTGCTGGCATTGACCTTGTAGTTCTGAATAATGTCCATCACTATGTTGCCCAGCTCCTGTTTCAGCTGCAGAGGGATGTAAGGGTCAGGGATGGCCTTGAACCTGAGCCTCGAAGCTGCTAACACACAACACCTCCTTCCCCATAGCAATCCCAGGTCACACTCAAGGCTCCAGATCATGTCGACCACCTTCCTGCTAATTCCTGGTGCCTGTTTGGTCAGTGCTGACCTTATCTACATGTGGTCTATCCCTTAACCATTCATCTTTCCTGTCCACACTGAAAAGCCTCCTGTGGCATCGCACACCTTTCAGGAAACATGTCAATGTCCTCTTAGTGACTTGCAGGGTCCCACACCATTTGTCCAGGTCTTCCCAGTCCTGGTTTCCTCTCTTTCCGGCTGTGCTCCATTATACAAGGCCTCTTGCTCTTTGTGTGTGCTGTTCCTTCTGCCCAGAATGCTGCTCCCCTGTATATGAACATGGCTGGCTTCCCTGTCAAACTTCATTTCCTCAGAAGGTCTTGGGCCTGCTCTCCAGAATGCAGTGTTTCCTCTGCCCTCTGTTACCCTTCCCTGCCCTCCTTGTCCTGTAGGGTTATGTGCTGGCACCACAGGTTCATCTATATTCTTTCCTCAACTGTGGGGGTGTGGGCTGGCTCTGGGTGCTGGCTAGAGCCCCCAACAGCTGGAGCGAAGTTAGATGTCTTCACAGAGACTGAGCATGAAGCCTATTTCCTAGAGAAAGCAAAAATAAGAGGCTGAGCATTTCTTGCTTTTGTGGAGTGGGCTGCAGTTTCTCCAGAAAGGACTGGGAGTGCCGGGAAGGCAGCTGAGGGAGCCCAACCAGAAGCCTGCTTCAGCCTCAGCCACTCAACCTCCTCTAGAGTCAGCAGCACCACATGAGGCTGAGGGCCTCACATCGGTGAGAAGGGTGGGCTGCAGGGCTGCCTGGCCCTTCATGGTGGCCCTCCATTCCCTAGCACTTCACAGCCCATATTCTGACCAGTCCTCACCCAGCTGAGATACACCCTGGTATCCGGTGTGGGGAAGCCCAGGAGTGTGAGGCAGAAGAGGGCTTCAGGAGACGCCGGCCATGGACAGCCAGCAGTGCATGGCGACCTCTCGAGTCTCACTTCACTCTGGGGCTAGCTGCAGTGCAAAAGTTCTGCCCCAGAGAGAGGCGAGATCCGCAAAGGTGGAGACATGGCCTCAAGAAGCACTTGAGCAGTTCCTGCTGGCTTCCCTTACACAGCATGAACAAGCTGGCCACCATTACCTACTTACCTATGCAGGGCCAAGAAAAATCACACTTGGAAGTTAGGAAGGTCACACATGCCCCTCTTTCTGATGTCAGCATTTAATATATTCTTCCCCAAAGGGAGCCTTTAGTGCTGCACCCAGGATGCCCACCTCCTTCAGCTGCGCCAGCAATCTGGGCTGCTCACTACTTCCCTCCTCAACCCAGGGCACCAGTGCAGTGGTCTTGCATCCCTCCCTCGCAGAAAGCTCCTGGCATAAGCTTCAAAGAGCCTCACGGACTGGAGATTGTTGAAATAGGAGCAGCGGGGCTGCGTCCCCAACACCCCAGCCGCTTGGCTAGCTCACGCCCGAAATAACAACACACAAACTGTATTCATTTAAAGAACTGCTTGGCCCATGAACTCTAGCCCTTATAGGCTAATTCTCGCACCTGGACTAGCCCATTTCTAATGATGTGTGTAAGCACCCCAAGGTGCGCTTACCGGGAAGATTCTAGCCTACATCCATCTTCATCGCCTGTGCCTCAGAGAGCAGAGCTATCGCGTCTACCCGGGAGAGCTGAGCATGGCGTCTCTGCTCCAGCAGAGCTGTCGGGTCTCTCCGGGAGCAGAGCAGAGTCTGACCTCACTTCCTCTTCTGCCCAGAATTCTATTCTGTTTCCTCCTCCCATCTATGCTCTAAGCTAAGCCAAGCAGTTTCTTTATTGCTCAGCCAATGAAATCAACAGATTGATATATGACACTCCCACATCAGGAGATGAGGCTCAGCTGGTACAGAACTTGCCTAGGTCAACCTGGGGTCAGTCTTCACCATTGCATAAACTGGGCATGCTGGCACACATCCGTAACCCCAGCTCTTCAGACTTCAGCAGGCAGGTCAGGGTCAAGGTCATCATGGCTAGGCCACTCTGAGATCAGCCTAGACCACATGAGACCCTGACTCAAAAGCAAACAAGCAAACAAACCACAGAAAGAAAAAGAGAAAGCATAGAAACAGCATCATAGAATTCTAGTTTGCAAATCTTTTCAACTCACAGTTCATCAGCGGCTGACTTACAGAACACAATTACTGAGCTATTCCCTGACCCTTCCACCAGGCCCATGGCCTAGGAACCATCCTTGTTCCCACACCACAGGCCCAGAGAGGTATGTGAACTTAGCCAAGTCACATGATCACAGGCAAGAACTGAAGTTTGGACGTGGGCTTGTTCTCACCCTGGACCCAGATTTCCAGCCACCCACAAAGCTTCCTCAGCATTCAACCACATGCTGGTCAGAAAAACTTTAGCGGCATCCTGTGGTTTGGGTGCCCCACAGCTGGGCTGTCTGCCTGAAGGTCTTGAGTCTGACTGGCCTGACCACCTGGACCTCACTTCTAGCCTCTGGTTAGGAGATAATCCCCAGGCCTTGAAAGCCCGTCTCCCAACCATGTCCGCATCCTTCGCTTGCAGTAGGTCTCCCTTTTATGGCCACAGGGCTCTGTACTTTCCCAGAATGGTTGCATGATGGCTGGACTTCCCTATCTCCTCCACCACCGTCACAGATAGCCGAAGGTGAGAGAGGCCCTGGGGGACTCCCACCACGTCGGTGATTTCCGTGGAAGTCGCCCAGCATCCTGTAGTCCAGGATGTGGCTGACACAGCTGGGTCTGGAGACCTGTGTGTGCACCTCTTGTGCCAGTGGAGTGGATTGAGAGGCTTCCTCAGGGACAAGCCACCTCAGAGGGAGGACCAACAGACGAGCGAGCCAGCAATAGTGAGGGACTGAGCGCTGTCACAGCTCTGGAGCCGAGATTCTTGTCCTCTTAGTCAGAACCTGGGATGCTGTCAAGCCCCCAGGTGTCATCATCCTCTCCCACTTCAAATCGTTCTTCCTAATAAGATCCCAAGACTCCTGGGTCACACAGCCAGCCTGCAGCAGACTCTGTACCCCAGATCTGGGCAGCTGCCATGATCATAGAGGCTTCCACCTGGACACCCCACCCATCTCACCCCCCACACTCCCCACACATCCAAGGCTGTGCTGTGATCTTTCCAGGTAGAGTGCTGTCACCATCTGGATGGCGGAGGATGGAGGAGGGGCACAGCACACCGCCCCACTTAAGATTCCTTCCCGTGCCTTCCTGTCCTCTGTTTAAATGTTTTCTGTCACGGAGAATGTAGTGCCCTACAAGAGCATGCCACAGGTTGGAAGTCTCTTAGCAAGCAGCTCCCCATACTTTATCAGTCTCTTACTGTCTCACTGGCATCGGTCCCCTCAAGTCCTAGTTTTAACTACACAGGATCAAGTAAGTTCCTGTGATTGCACCCTAAGTCTTGCTCAGCCAGCCTGGCCTATCCTAACGTTGCCCACAGTGGGTGTAGCTGCTATCTTGAGCCCTTACCAGGCCCAGCAGTCTCCAGGTCAGTGAGGCCATGACATTTGGCCAGCCAAGAGCCCTAGGCTGCACACCTTCTACCTTGCCACTGTCCACACAGCACTGGGAGATCTTGAAGCATCCAAATCTTACAGAGGTGCTGGGGAGGCTGGAGGTGTGACTTGGTGGCTAAGTGCTTTGTGAGCATGCACAAAGCCCTGGGTCTCATCCCCACACTGACTAACACTGGGGGGGGGGGTGAGAGGTGGGAGGGAGTGGGGAGAAGCATGTGACTGTACTCCTAGCACTTGGAAGGGCAGAGAGAAGTATCACAAGTTTAACGTTATCCTTAGGGACAAAGTAGTTCCGAAGCTAGCCTGGAGGATATGAAACCCAGTCTCAGAACAACCAGACAGGGTTGGTGACATGTCACAGCCCAGAAGGATCTGGGACGTTAGCACAATTGGACCCACTGACTTCCCCAGGGACACCAGCTACAGTGCACAGGGGCCTGGTATCCTGCTCATGAACCACACTGCCACTGAGTGTCTGCAGCTGCTGTCTCAGAGGACATTCCTGCAGAGACACACCCAAGGGAGAGTGGCTCCACAGAAGAGGAAGCTGAGGAAGAACAAGGCTGGGGGACTTCCCACCCAGAGTCTCGGAACCAGGTTCTGATGCACCCTTGAGGAGAGGCCAGTCCATCTTCTAGAAGGCTTCTTCCTCTGCTCTGAGAACCGCTGCCCCACCTGCCCAGCTGTGCCATCTTCAGGAATAAACACCACCAAGGGATGTTTAGTCTCCTTCTGAGATTTACAATGTGCCGAGAGTGGAAATTATATTCCTTCCAACTCAGGGGTGCAGGAGCAGAACCTCATCCAGCTCAGGGGATCCCCACTGTGTGCATGAAGGAGTGGGGTGTGGAGCCTGAGGTGGCATAGGAAGAGTTGTGAGGCACACAGCATTGGAAAGAGCCAAGGCCCAACTCTTCAGCCAGCCCTGGGCCAGGCCTGGAGGCCCCTGGAGGTGGGTTCCTGGACTTCTACCAAAGAAGCTGGTCAGCAGGCAGAAGGACCCTAGGGAAGTCACTGTGAGACTGCTAAGTGGGTGACTATGGCCATATTCACCTCGGCTCCTGTGAACCTCTGTTTCTTGGATGGGAAATGTCTGTAAATCTGAAGCTTGACCCCTGACATAGGGTTGGTGTCCCCTTAGAGGGTGCTGCTGGCATCACCATGAGATGGTGGCTCCCCTAGGGGTGAGGGTGAAGGTGGCTCAGGCTCCCTGCAGAGGCCACCAGCTTCCTACTTAATTTCATTGCAATGTACCCTGACTGGGCTCCCAAAAAGCCACACAAGGAAGGAATGAGTACCTGACCCTGCACGGAGTTTCCCTTCTCTAACCACTGGCTTCCTGTCTGACATCCAAGCGAGCTACCTTTCATCTAATAACCCTACCATTTCCTCTTTTGCCTTGGCCACCTGGAGGCCCAGGGCTCAGGTTAGCCCTCCGCTGTCCAGATTCAGAAACAGCAGCTCTGTTCTTGGCACATGCGCTCTTCTCGCTCATTCTGTTGTTTTGTTTTGTTTTGTTTTGAGACAGGGTTTCTCTGTGTAACAGCCCTAGCTGTCCTGGAACTAGCTCTTATAGACCAGGCTTGTAGACCTCGAACTCATAGAGATCCACCTGCTTCTGCCTCCTGTGTGCTGGGATTAAAGGTATGTGCCACCACTGCCCGGTTTCTCTCTCATTTTAATTGTCCATGCTGGGAACCCTCTGTGCAGCGCACCTGGTGAACACCTGGGGACGGATTATAAACCAAAGCTAACTGAGATAAGGAACCACTGTGGTGACTATTGTATCAGCACGATCACTGAACCCAGATGCCTGGATTTCCACCCTGCCTCTGCTGCTCACTAGTTGTGTGAACCTCTCTGTGCTTCAGCTCCTGTATCTGAAAATGATCCCCTCTCTGATCTGCACACTTTTAAGAAATGACCAAATGACAAACTCGTGTGTGTGTGTGTGTGTGTGTGTGTGTGTGTACAGCACCAGGCTCCTTCTCAGTTCTGCAAAGCTGAACGCTGGACCAATGTTCTCAGCTTCCAAGAGGGACCTACAGCCACACAGGAACCCCTCGCTCGGACATGGCAGGGTGAGAGGGAGGTCTCAGAGCTCAGCTGGGCCCCAGTGGGGCCTCCGGAGGGAGTCAGAGAGCCTGGGCCTCCCTGATTTCCCCACTGGTGGGACCCTGCATCTCAAGTGACCTGGCTGGTGACTGGTGACAGCATGGCTGTGGCCTGTGTGGACCCAGCCACAGAGGTGCTGGGGTCCTGGTGACTGGCCAGTGTTTCCCTCTGCATCCACTTCTCTAGGCACGGTGGTGCATGTGTTTAACACCAGCATTCGGGAGGCAGAGGCAGATGAATCTCTGAGTTCTGGGTCAGGCTGGTTTGCACAGTAAGGCCCTGTCTCAATAAAAAACATTCGTTTCTCCACCTGTCAACATGGAAGCTTCTGGATGGTTCCAGCAGGTGCCCAGACCTGAGCACTGGGCAGTCATGATTCCCAACAGCCAGGCTGAAAGCTTCATGCTAAGTTTCCCAGGTGCCTTTGTGATCCAGTGCAGGGAGGCTATCTGAGAAAAGCCAAGGCCTTGGCTGGCATTGCCCTCTCTTTTTCCTGTCACAGCAGGGAAAATGCTGTGCCTGGTGCTGTGGCAGCCACCTTGTGACCAGGAGGTTTCATGCTTGAGAACATCCATCCCAACCAGTCAGTCTCTGAGCTTCTAAATGAGAGTTCTGGAGACATCAGTAGCAAATGTCCTTTGGGCTTAAGCTATAGTAAGTCTGATTTTCCATCCTGAGAGCCAAACAATTCTCTGCTTATGAAGCACTAACATTAACAGGCTCCTCCCTGGCCTCATCTGCAGCAGACAGATGAAAGTGCTTTAGTGACAAAAAGCTTGCATGTGCCAGCAGCTCCCCGAGCCCTGCCCACTCTGGTGGGTTCCCGGGATCGGCACATCAACAGTCCTTGCTGACTGAGGGTAAGGCAGGCACAGAGAGGGAAGTGGTTAGTCTAAGGCAACACAGCATCTGAGATTCCATCCCAGGCTCTGATTCCCCCCCCACACACACACACTGTCCCACATTCAATTACAAGTGCCACCAAGAGGTCTCCTAGGGGCAGAGGCCTGCCAAGGCCAACCCTAGAGTTCTGCCTGGCTGCTCTCACAGCCTTGGTCCCCTAGAGGGGGACAGTGTCCTTGTGCAGAGGGCTGTCTATGACCTCCTGGGCTGTGACAACTGAGTGGCTTCCTATCCACCCCATACCCAAGGTCCCAGCCTCAGTGGACCTCACCCACTGGCAGTGGGATGGCTGCTCACCTTGTCAGAATTGAAGTAGAAGAGGACCCCTACAGTCACCTGTGCAATGAGGATCAGCAGAAGGAACACGAAGTACTGGGGACAAAGAGGTACAGAGTTAACTATGGACCCAGGAGTGTCGTCCCATCCCAGGAAGAACTCCCAACCTGGGGCTCTGGGCCCCACAGGCTCAGGGGCCTACTCACCAGCCCCAGCAGGCAGCGGACCTCATTGACAGCACCAATACAGCCCAGGAGCCCCAGGAGCATGGTAACGGCGCCCACACCGATGGAGACATAGGCCCCGACCTGCAGCGAGCTGGAAGAAGTTTCTGAAGGAGAAGGGCATCCACCCAGTGAGCCATGTGCCTCAGGGCAAAGGCAGCCTGAGCCCAGGGCTACTGCCTGATTCTCAGGAGCTGGGGTGGGGGCAGCCATATTCCCACCCTCTCTTGGTCCTGTGCACTCCGCTCTCATCCAGCCCAAGGTTACTTTTCCTCCTATTGCTATCTACACCTCACGCCTGATTTTCCCTGAACCCGGAGACTCAGAAAGCAGAAAGGGAGAGTTCGGGTTGCATTTCCTGGGAGGCCTCGCGTGGCAAGCTGACATTTGGAGGAGCATATGAGTCAGGGGGCAGACAACACAGGGTCCTGTTGATGGTGTCCCTAACTGTCAGGACCATGGTGCAGGGAGAGGCTGGAGGGTTGGAAGATGTCAGCTACTACGGGGTCCAGTATGCTTTGTAGGGAGAAAGCCAAAAGAGGTGCAGAGGTAAGGGCAGGGAGTTCGGCATGTCTGGGAAAGCTGGTGCCTGTATGGGAAATGGGGACCCACCAGGGAATGGCACTGGGGAGCTGGGCAGACCTCATGAGGGAAAGTGGGGCCTGTGGTCAGAGGATAGAGGGGAACTCTGCATTTTGTTTGTTTATTGTTACTGTTTGGAATTTTTTGTTTTGTTTTTGAGATAGAATCTCTGCAGCCCTGTCTGTCCTGGAACTCACAATGTAGATCAGGCTGGCCTCCAACTCACAGAGATCAGCCTGCCTCTGCTGAGATTAATGGGGAGCCACCGTGGCTAGCACAACAGGGGAATTCTTTTTTGTTTTGTTTTTCTGTTTGAAACAAGGTCTTGCTACAGCCTAGGCTTAAACCCTTGATTATTCTGCCTCTGAGCACTGACATGCCACCATGCCTGACTAGAGGAACCTCTGAGACCCAGATTCATACAGGGCCTCGGGGCCGAGAGATTTGCTGGAGAGAAGGAATCCTTCACATGGTGCCGTAGAAGTGGGGCACAGTCAGGGCCAGTTCAGGTCTCCCGCAGGGGACATAGACCTACTTTGTCAGTCTTACTATTTGCTCATCAGGGTGCTGCCTGCAGAGTGGGACGGAGTAGGCACTGTCCTCAGAAACAGACGCAGCTTGGGTTGGGCAGCAGAAGGCCCCATGAACCTAGGTAATGTTCCAGGACACAGGAAAGCCCAGGCCCGCCCTCCTTGGTCCTGGGGCCGGCTTCTTTGCAGTTCCACTCAGAGCCTCCAAGAAGCTTGGGGACGTCTCCTGGGATGCGTGGCAACTCCTGGGGTGGAGCTCCTCACATTGGTCTCACATTCTTGGGTCACAGAGATGGGAAGAGGCCATCAGCTCCCCAGTCTGGCTTCCAGAAGACAGATTGGTTGGGACAAAAAGGGTGCCAGGCACCAGACCATGCAGAGCAAGGCCCTTGGACTAAAGCCCTGTGCACACGCCAGCACTGTCTGGGGAGGTAGAAGTCACACCCCGGTCTCCCTAAGAGCTTCCCTGAGACTCAGGAAGCTGAGGTACAGGGAACCAGCCCTGTGACACCCTAAGACCTGTTGTCTCCACTCAGTCTGTCTGACTGAATCTGAGCAGCCTGAGTTGGCAACTGACAAATGCCCTTGCCCTGTGTACAGCGAGAGAATGTGTCTGATTCAGCCATCAGGGACTAGGGAGACAGAGAGCAGGCCATACAAACTGAAAGGGCTGGGCAGCCATTCAGGTGACCAGTCTCTGCCAGCGTGCCATGATTGGTGGCAAACCACTTCCTCCTTCCTCCTCTGGGAAATGGGACTTTGGTCAGTGTCTTGTGGTCATAGGGATTAAACTGCTTACACAACCACTCAAAGCCATCCTAAAGGCTCCACATGGAAATGAGGGAGCCTTTCTGCTATGCTTGTTTGAGACAGGGTCTTACATAGCTCAGGCTGGCCTTGAAATTTCCCTGTAGCAGAGGATAGTCTTCAGCATCTGCTCTTCTTGCCTCCAACCCCCAGGTGTTGAGATAACAGGCGTGTTATCTCCACGCCCCACTTTAGAAATGAGATTCTAAGGTCTATGACCTCACGAGGCCCATTGCTGCCATTCCTGTTTTGTAGGTGAAGCAGTGCAGAGAGGCAAAGTAACCTGCCAAGGACCACACAGCAGACCTGTGACGACTGAACCCCACCCACTGGCCCAGATCCAGGGTTTCCTATTAACCATGGCCACCTGCTTTCTCTCCTGAAGATGCCACCTTGAGGGACATGGCAATCACATGGTGCAAGGGCTGGGGCATGGGTGCCATCCCTTACCCCTATCTGTGTGCCCTCAGGCAGTTACCCCTCCTCCTGTTCTTAGGATTTTTTTTCTCTATAAAAGGGGATGGTGTGGGGGGGGAATGGAGCCCAGCAGTAGGGATTCACAGCGGCGGGGGGGGGGGGGAACTAGATAAAGGACAGCTATGTCATACAGCAAGTCAGGAGCCCTACATCCCCTTTTTGATTCTCCCTTGTAAGCAGGGCCTCTATGAGCCTCCGTTTCCCCAAGTGCCTGGGCTCCTAGATCAGGGTTTCTTTTCTTTGTATTTTGACCTTGATTTTTGTGGTTTTTTTTTTTTTTTGAAATAAGGCTTTACCCTATAGCCCACACTGATCTAGAGAGCATTAACAGTCACCTGCCCCAGCCTCACAGATCAGCGTGTCTGAGCCTGGCTGCCTTTGAGCCCCTAGAGTTTGTAACACAGAACAGCAGTAGGTGGGTGTGTGATGGGTACAACCTGGGCCTGGAATTTACAGAGCTATGGAGAGTCAGAAGCTTGATCACAAAGGGCAGAATGCAGGCAGAAATGAGATGGCCTGCAGACTTTGCACCCTGGCACAATGCCTACCGGGTGTGGGCTGGACCCATTAAGCCAGACTGATTCTAAGGAGAGCTTATCCCTGTGGGTGGGCATTGGGGGTGAGGGTGGGCACAGAAACCCCACCCAACCCTAACCCGGACACTGACAGCTCACAACAGGATCACTCCTCCTTTCCACCTCCTGGAGGAATGTTTGGCCCTGGGAACCTGGAAAAAGGTGTAGACCCTCCTGTCTATGTCCCAGTCAGGTTCTGTCTTGTTTAAATCAAACAGCTGTCAGATTGGCCAGAGTTCAATCCAGCTGCTTGGGACAGCTGCTGAAAGTGAAGAGAGCCAGGGCCTGCCACTCACTGGGAAATGGCTGGCACAGAGAGCTCCTGGCAGACTCCACCCCTCCCCACCCGGAACTGAGACAGGCCAACACAGCCAGTCATGAGGGCCTCCTAAGGAAGGAGGCAAGGAGGTCAGGCATTATAGCCTCTGAAGAACAGGAGGGACCTTGCATGGAGGCTCACCCCACCCTGGGCTGCATTCAGGATCAGAACTCCGGGTTGGGTCTTACAAATCACCACCAGGAGTTGTGTGAACTTCAGTGTCCTAACGGCTCTTTTCCTTCACTCATTCCGTGGGAACAGAACAGGACTATTGGGATTAGGACCCTGTGTGCACCCGGCTGCCTGCCACTCCTGGCTCTCCCTGTGGTCCTCTGAGGAGGGGACCAACTGCAGCCCACATTTCACTGTGCAGTCAAACACAGGGACAGAGGATGTGGGAGGCTTTCCTGAGGGTGACGAGAATGAGTCCCTCCACCCCCAGCCCAGTCACCCAGGCATCTGCAGACAATGGGGCTCTGTCTGTGAGCAGGAATTTGTCCCGGAGCCCTGGCAAGGGTCCCCCATGCAGTAGTCAGTAACAGGAGCTGGCCATGTCCCTAAGGGCAGCTGTGCATGTACGTCCCTCCCCTCGAGGGCAGGCTGTCTGTGCAGCAGGGGGTGTCTTACGCAAGACAGAAATGAAGCTGTTCTTGTCTGCGAGGATCCACACCCCAAAGCCCAGGATCACGGCACCCAGGAGCTGCAAGGAGAGGGGCAGTCAACGGAAGCCCGGAAAGGTAGGTCAGAAAGCTGCCCCTGAGGCCCCAGCAAGGGAGGGAAGGGTAGGAGGATGCACAGGTGTTTCCTCCATCCTGAGAATGTCCAGGGTATCCCTTCTGCCATACACACACACACACACACACACACACACACACACACTGCCCCCACTGATGCCCTTCTTCCCAGGAACTGAAGTTTCCAGAAGAAAATGCCACATGCAGTGAAAGTGCCTCCAAGGGAGAAGAACTGCAGCTGTGACCGCTGGAATGTGACAGGCTGTCTTTGGTCCTCTGAACAGCCATGTATGATCTAACATGTGTGATCTAACATCCTTGTGACTTTTACGGGAATCTCTTTGGAACACGTAAACAGTAACTTCTACCAACCCGAGCACTAAGAATGGCATCAGGTAGCATCAGAAGCCACAACAGAGATCCTTCCACCCCGGTTTGCTGTCACCCACCTACCAGATGTTTCTACCAATGTCTTTGAAAAGTTCTTGGAGCTCACTTCCGATCAGTTGGCCCTGCCTACTCCCCAGGCTACCAATCAGCACCCCCCGACATTCAATTAGGGAGCCCTGATACCAAACCTGACTGGATGACAGGCAGGCTGAGCTGGGGCACCATGGCCTTCCTGTGAATCTGCCCCAGAGAACTTAGAGAAGCTGTTTCCTGTGAGTCTGCCTCAGAGAACTTAGAGAAGCTGTTTCCTGTGAGTCTGCCTCAGAGAACTTAGAGAAGCTGTTTCAGAGCGTAAAGGAAGAAATGGGCTGGAACGAAGCTTGGCCATCTGCCGTAGTCAGCAACTTGACAGCCCAGAGTCAACTGAAAGGAAAGCTCCATTGGAGGACTTGCTATGTCAATGGGCCTGTGGGCATGTGTGGGGCTCGGTCATTAACTGATGCAGAGAGCTCTGCCCACTGTGGGCAGCACCATCCTCCAGCCAGTGTACGAGAAAAGCTCGCTGATGATCTTGTGAGTGAGCGAGCAGACAGCAAGCGGCACTCTTCTATGGTTTCTATTTTAGGGTTTTTTGGGAAGCAGGGGGGGTTCAAGACAGTGTTTCTCTGTGTAGTATTGCTGTCTTGGAACTCCCTCTGTAGACCAGGCTGGTCTTGCACTTGCCTCTGCCTCCCAAGTTCTGGGATTAAATGTGTGCCACCACTGTCTGGCCTGTTTCAGATTCTTGTCTTGAGTGTGTGCCCTGAATTACCTCAATGATGGTCTGTGGCCTAGAAGTGTAAGGTGGAATAACCCTCTCCATTGACAATGCTTTTGCTCCTACTGTTTATCATAAAGCAAACAAGCACCCCATCCTAACATAGTATGCTCCACACAGTGACCACAGCTGCTAGACTAGATCGCCAGTCCGTAGGATTGCAAACATTCTAGAAAACTATGAACATATATCAAGCCAGACTTTGGTTTTTGTATCATTAAATAAAAGAAATACAAATTCTTGAATTTTTTTAATGAGCTTTAGTTTATGACTTCCTTTGATCTCTTACTAGAAAAACCTCCTGAGGGGTTGGGAAGATAATTCAGTGAGCTTGCTCTGCAAGGACCTGAGAGGACCTGCGAGGACCTGCATTCAAATCCCCATAAGCACCCACTTAAGTATCTGTGCATGATGAACATGCTGTGCATGCATGCTGCAACCCAGCATGAGGAGGCAGTGGTAGTGCATGAACTGGACACAGAGAACCTGCAGAGAGAGGACTGCTGAACTTGCCTAAAGGTGAGATTATCTTTCTTGGTTCCTGATTCATGAAAGAGTCTGCGAGACATTCTGCAGGACACAGCAGATAGTGACTGAACTGCCTTTGAAATTTCCTGCTTCATTGAAATGTCTGCTGGATACTATGGGCCTGTAGGCTGTAGATGGATGCCCCAATTGTACAGAGGAACTTTGGGTTACTGTTCAGGCAGCGAGATGTCTCTGTCATTTCTAGAGTTTTGTAAGTTGCTTACTTCTCATTTACTTAGGTAATATTATATCCTTCTGGAGTCTTTGATGGAGTTGAAGAATAGATAGATAGTTATAGTTGTTTTCCTTTGTTATGATAAAAGATCAATAGATATAAATATTGTAACTGTAATTCTTACTTTATAACTGTTTTGTTATATGTAATTTTGCTATGTTAAAGTTAAATCCTTCCTTTTTGTTTAAACAGAAAAAGGGGAGGAAGGTCATTGGTTAAATAAAGAAACTGCCTTGGCCCTAATAGGACAGAAAATTAGATAGGCGGAGTAAACAGAACAGAATGCTGGGAAGAAGGAAAGTGAACTCAGAAGCCATTTCCTCTCCTCTCTGGGGCAGACGTGATGAAGCAAGTTGCCAGGTCAGACATGCTGAATCTTTCCTGGTAAGACTGGTGCTACACAGATTATTAGAGATGGGTTGATTGGGATATGAGAATAGCTAGAGCTAATGGACAAAGCAGTGTTTAAAAGAATACAGTTTGTGTGTTGTTATTTCGGGGTATAAGCTAGCCAGGCGGCTGGGAGCTGGGTGGCAGGAACGCATCCCGCAGCTCCCTTCAACAGATCGTGCTAGCAAGGCAGCCAGAAACTAAGCTTTTGGTTCAGTTAGGAACCCTCTGTCCCCAGCCGAGCAGCATGTGACCACAGCATGGCTAGCCTTTTTTGCCTTTGGGCCTAGTCCTTTGTGGTTAGTACCTAGTACTCTACCAACCAAGCAGCAACCCCAAATTCACCCCCATGCTTTAAATCTGCTCTATATGACCTACGACACTTGACACTTGTGGGAAATGCTATACACACAGTGGCCATATTGCAATGTCCGGGACCAGTGAGCAGAAGTGGTCTGCACATGCTCAGTAAGGATATAGCATTTTGGAGATATTTTTGAACTGTCCTGGGTAGAAGTCACAAATTCATAATCTGTGGCCCTGCGCTGGAGGAGTGATGGGGAAGGAATGCATAGGTGCTGTCCCCACCTCCCTCCCCTGTCCAGCTAGATGAGCACCTAGGCCCATACACAGCCAGTTAGCACCTACCAAGCCAGCTCTCTGGCCTCTGGTCCCATGTGTCAGCCTAGAGCAGCTCAGAGGAGAGACCCAGCCGAGCCGTCCAGCCTTCTCTCCTTCTCTACTAGCTCATTGACCTTTCCCATTGTATCTCCCAAACTGCATAGAAGACAGAAAGAGAAAAAACTGTGTGCCCTTCATCCCAGGTCCTGCGCCTCACCTAACACGACCCTGACTCCTTTCTCCAATTTCCAAGGCCTGAGATACAGCACTATCATGCTGGCCTTATCCTGTAAGGGTCTTGGCCTGGGTCTTGGCCAGTGTCTGTAATGCCACCTGCTCTGTCTGCCTTGCAGTTGTCCCCTAGATCCCCTGCCAGGCTGGGAAGGGCAGTTCCCATGCTCTGTGTGCCCAGCATAGGTGGTTTCTGTGACTGATGCCCCAAATGCAGGACCTGAGGCCTAGTAGGACCAGCTGGCCTGTTCATCCTGACCTAGTGGAACCTATGGTAGAGCATGCCAGAATGTCCCACCTGTGTGTGCATACGTGTATGCATACATGCATGAATGTGTACCAGGGGCACTTCTGTAAGTACCATGTACTGGGATAAAGTTTTGAAGAATGATTCTTTGTGAATATTCCAAAGTTCCCATAATCCTTGTGCTTATACTATGAAATTTCCCCTATAAGTAACTCATTCATACTTCAGAGAAACCCCAACACAAGTGGGGTTCTAGACACTATAGAACATAAGACCCAGTTGTGGCAAGTACCTGCTTTATGTAATCTGTGTCTCACAACTATGTAGGGTGAACCAGTGTGGAAAAGCCACAACTGCAGTAACACTCCAGATCTGTGGAAGCCCCTTCAGGATGCTCACACTCTCACACACACACACACACACACACAAGCCAACACCCATGTGCACCCACTCACATACATGTGCACACCATGGGTCTGGCAACACCAAGGCAGGACTGTTGGTGCCAGGCAGGACTGTTGGTGCCAGGCCTGAGGTGAAAAGAAACCCAGCTGCAGATGTCCCACAGAGCTCACATCTGGGAGGGCCTCTAGTGGAGATTTCATAGGTTAATAGAGGGGTGTGTGGAAAGGATGTCCCTGTGGCCTCTGAGAGTTCAAGGTAGCTGTTGGGAGCCTATTCAGCTGGAGCTGTAACAGGCAACCTGCGAGGGGTGAGCAAAGGGAAGAACAGCCCAGAGATCCCAAGGGGCTTTCTTCTGCCACCCTGCCTTAGAGGAGCGGATGTGTCCACCGCAGCTGGGCAGAGGGCTCTGGACAGGAATCTTTGCTTTGTCAGGGACTCTATCCCACCATCACCAATTCTCTTAGGAATTATGTGTCCTGGGACACATAAGCTAATCCCACCTAATACCTGGCCAGAGTCCGGGGCCTTGAGAGGGTTGGGTATCCTGGCAGACACATACTTACAAAGAACAGCAAGTTGAAGAGGAAGAGGAAGTACTTGGTGACTTTGATGCAGGCTGTCCCCATCCTGCAGGCTGTGGAACTCCCTGGAGAGAGAGGGAAAGGGAACAGGTGATGGAGGCAGTCTAGGGGCTGGGGGTGGGGGATAGGGGGGAGGGCACAGCAGGGAAGAGAGCCATTGTCATCATCCCTAGACCCAGTCACCTCAGTCCAAGCACAAGGTTGCAGCTATAAGTGTGCCTGCTTTACATGGTGCTGAGAGAAAGAGAGGTCGGATGCCTAGCCCAAGTCACACAGCTGGGAAGTCTTTGGTCCAGGCTCTAGAACTCACCTGGGGAGACACTAGCAGAAGTAACAAGGCCAAGAAATTAGTAAGTGACTGCCAGACCCGAGTGAGACCTAGGGCTAGCTCCCGGGCTTGGTGAGCCTAGGCTAGCTCCCCAGCTTGGTGAGCCTAGGCTAGCTCCCCAGCTTGGTGAGCCTAGGCTAGCTCCCCAGCTTGATGAGCCTAGGCTAGCTCCCCAGCTTGGTGTGCCTTTCCAGGACCAAGGCTGGGGATTCTCGGGTGCTGAGGCTGGAAGGGCCTTCGCTTTTATATATCACAAAACATCCAACAAACACAGAGAAACACAAATGTCAGCCATGGACTCTCACTCCCATAGCCCCATAGCAACTGCCACATCTTAAACAGCTGCTTCTTGTGTGTGCTTTGTAGCAAAACTGTTCATGCCGGGACGAGGGTTTGCATAATCTCTGCAAAACAGCATTTGCCCAAAACACAAAATCACACAATCTTGCATGTCTCATAGGAATCTATACTATTGATCAGTACCTATTCATCTTTGGGGATTATATGTTCCTTCTGAAAATTCGTGTGTAAGTAGCATATTCAGACTCTGGGGGAAGGGTTATAGGCCCAGCCCCAGGAAAATCATTAAAAATCCCCATGATGCTGCATTGAAACCCCTAGTCCATGAAGCACATGGCTGGCAGTCTACCCTGGGATGCCCAGGTTGTTTCCTGGTGTTCATGATGGTCCCCTTGAATAACACAAGCCACACTTCCAGCGTGAGGCACCATGTCCCCCCACGGCAAAAACCCCAACTCCCTGGGAGCTAGAGAATTCAAAAAGGCAGGAACTTGGCCTCCCTCTCCTCCCCAAGGCCCGACGGGTCCCATGGGATGCAGGGACCATCACCCAGCAGCTGGGCGAGGCCAGCTGGACTGGAACAGCTGCACGGGTAGCCTGCCTGTGTCCTACAGTCCTGGGGAGGGGAACCCAGGGCAGAAGCGAGTGGAGACTGTTCATGTCATCCTTCTCTGAGTCTACCCACACATGGGTTCCCCCACTCTTTTCTGATCACATTCACACCCTACCCTCCATGCTGAGTAGAGCCCCACTTCTACCCTTCACACTTCCAGACTGGAGATGGGGCTGGGCTAAGAGAGAGCATGCAGCCTCCCCTGAGGATGCCGGCAGCCTGTGACAGCTCTGTCATGGGAAGGGTGAGATGCTCCTTTAAAAAAGCAGCTTTGGGTGTGGCTTGAGGCAACACCAAACAGGGAATGGGAAAACCAGCCAAGGGAGGTGATGTCCCCATCCCAGGTGGCATACAAATAGCAGAAATTCCTGCTCACAGGGGCTCAAGGACTACATGGGGAGATGAGAGGAAATGGGGGTTCAGTCTACCAAGATGCCAGGCCTAGGTGTGAGAACTGCAGAGGGGCAGGGACTTTCTATTTTGAGGAGCTTCTGGTCTCAGAAGCTCCCACACAGTCTCCCGAAGAGGGAAAACAAACCTTGCATCAAGCAGAGAGTTGGAGTGGGAGATGCCTCCGCCCAGGCCTGGCTGGGGAAGGTCTGCCTGAACTCTACAAGGGCAGTTATTGTTTCTCCTCCCCCGCCCCGGCCTCCCAGAACAGCTTGGACCCCCACAGACATGCCAGAAACTCTGGGATAAGCAGTTCCAGAGGAAAGCTACCTCCCGGAGGGAGGACCTGTCCCCACCTATCAGGTGACAGCTCTGCTGGGGCCTGTTTCCTTCCAGCACAGTCGTGGGAGCAGCTGGACCCGGGCAGGCCAGAGACATTCCTCCCTCCGCATGAGAACGTAATCTAATAGTGTCAGGAAGGCTGAGTGAGTATCGGGAGCTGGTGCCCACTTGCCTGCTTAGGAAGGGGTTGCAACTCTCCCGGCAGGAACCCCTGTAGTGCGTGCGATTTCAGAGTCTAGATTATGTCCTGTATTGCTTGGCTCCCACATTCTGCAGGTAGTTGGGGTCTCCAGGACAGGCGTCCAGGAAGTAAGAGTGAGATCCAAACAGTTGGGCCTGCTAGGGCACAAGGAGTGGCCTCATAAACAACACTTGCTCTGGACAGCCATCCTTGTTTATTATTCCCTTTAATCCTCCCAACAAGCCCCAAGGGACCTGGGTTGGGCAGGCTGTGACTGGCCCAATCAATGCCCAGTACTGAGTGGACGGTCAAGCTCCTCCCACTGGGAAGTGCTTCCAAACCACTAAAGAATTAGTTCTTGGACTCACAGCAATTCACCTGTTTCTACTTCTGGGCATTAAAGGTATGACTCCATATAGCAATTTCCAAGCTAACCAGGACTATATTCTTTCCCAAAACAAGCAAAATAAAAACAAGAACACTACAGAACAAAAAAGTCGCAGTTCTATCTGTAACAGACGTTAAGCCAAGACTGGGACTTGTGGGCAGACAGGGCAGGAGGCAGGCAGAGCAGCGACTGCCATGCCAGGGGTTAGCCTGGCTGAGAACTGTGCTCTTAGCCCTCACGGAACCTCTCAGCATAGTAAGATCTGCAGGGTCCAGGCAGAGCTGGGTCAAAAACACTGGGATTTTTGAGCTCCGTGCAGACTAGGAAGCTGTGAGGCACTGAGAGCCTCCTCCCTCTCTAAACACTCAACCCTCCCCAATACACCTAGATGAGGTGGCTGGCCTCTACCCTCAGGCACCGCAGCTGCCACCCACCACCTGGGGCATATTCGCGGGGCCTCTGTTCCAATGACAGTCTGGCTCTTCAGAGCTGGTCCAGGTCTGACTGGTACCCTACTGGAGATAAATGACCACCCAACTGGCAACAGGTGGTGAGGACACAGGGTTGCTGCTCAAAGGAGCCCTGGCTGGGAGGCCAGGAGGAAGCCTCACTCAGCCTTGGACACATTGGCCACACCCCAGGCCGGAGCCTGTCTGGTATTCCCCTAGTATCCCAGGCCCTGGACATTTGCCTGTCTTCTTGGTTACTCGTCAGATCAGATCACACATTGGTCTAAGTGCATCAGCTCCCTGAAAATAAACTGAGACCCGAAGGAGTGAAGGACCATGGTCAAGGTCTCCAATAGCGGACAGGCAGGGACAGAGCCACTTTGGAGGCAGTGGGTTCCTGTCCTGAAACAAGCGCCTGGCAGGCAGCTCAACTAACTGGGACTTGGGAGCCACCAGTGTCAGTGTAAAATCCGAGAAGCAGCTTTCGGGGAGAGGGCGTTGGGTGGCCCCACAGAACTGTCCCAGGTCCAGGCCACGGGTGTTATCGGCAACCAGCAGGCAGTAGAGCAAGATCACTCTCCACACTGGGCACAGGACAGACAAGAGTCTCCCTAGAACAGACAGGCAGTTCAGTTCTGGCTGGGGACATGCTCAGGTTGCCCTGTGATGGGAAGTGATACCAGCTTCAGAGAGCCCACAATCACTATCATACATGAAGGAGACCCCCAAAGTCTTATTCTGGGGGCACAGGGCTCACCTTGCCATCTGAAGGGACAGGCTGTAATTCTTGCCCAGTGGGCAGAAATAAGCACTGGTGAAGGGCAGGGTCTGGATGCCCCTGCCTAGGCCCCTACCTGCTAGGGTATAAGAACAGACTGAATATTTTAAAATAGTTAAACAAACAAAAACTGGGGATTGAGCTCAGCTGGTAGAGTGCTTGCTCAAACTCCAGCAACATAACAAGTCTGAGAGCATCTAGGGCTACAGGAGACCAGGTCTCAGCAATCGAAAAGAAAACCAAAACAAACAAACACACACACACACACAAAAAAACATACCTTTTGCAGTGCACAGAAAGGACATGAAATTCAAATTCCTGTGTCCATAATTAAAGCTGTTTCGGCAAGCAGCCATACCCACCAGCCCATGACATTTAATCCCTGCCCAGTCTTGCCAGGAGATCAAACGATATTCACACAAGGGTCTGTGCCCACACACGGGCCTGTAGGAGGCAGCAAGGGTCATGACTGGCCTCAGCCGAGATCTTAGATAAAGAGAGCAACAGATGAGGCCAGGGGCTGATCGCTTCTGGGATAGAAGCAAAGTCCCAGGTCAAAAGTTCAGATCCTGGCTCTGCTAGCAAAGTCATCAGGAAGAATGTCCTAGGGCAAGGCTCCCCTCTGTGTAGCAGGCTGTCCTCTGTGCAGTGGGCTCCGTCTATCCAGTGGGGTCTCCACTATGCAGTGGGCTCCTCTCTGTGCAGTGAGCTCCCTGCTATGCATAGGGCTCCATTCTTTGCAGTGGGCTCTCCTGTATCCAGGGGGGTCCCCTCTGTTCAGGGGCTCCCCATGGTTCTGACTATCAGGAAAAGAGGAAGTTGGGGCCTGGCAGTCCTGGGGTTGGTGCTCAGAACACCAGGGCTGCACCTTGTGGCACCAAGGGACACAACACTTGCAGAAGTCAGGGATGAATGTTCCTTTGCAAATGATGCTGAGCTAACAGAGCCCGCCCTGAGCTAGGTGCTCTGAACATTTTTTATAGATGCCTTCTTGCCAGGGTAAACACAACGGCAAGCACATCTTTTTTAAAAAAAAATTATTTTAACTTTATTTTATGTGCATTGGTGTGACGGTGTCAGATCCTAGGGAACTGAAGTTATAGATGTGAGCGGCCATATGGGTGCTGGGACTTGAACCTGGGTCCTCTGGAAGAGCAACCAGTGCTCTTAATTATTGAGCCATCTCTCCAGCCCCATGGCAAGCACATCTTATGGGAAGCTCTGGAGTGGTTGTGGGGAGCCATGGCGGCCACCCTGTGGCAGGCCAATCATCCATTTCTAAGCAAGAATAATTTAAACTGGTGGAATCCACAGTTTTGTGCCAAATCAGTTTATACAGGAAAATGAACACAACAGTTCTTCTGCTGTCTGTGGTATCCACTTTAGGCCTGACCTTCTTTGCGACACTCCATAAACAGCCCCCTCAGTCCACCATCACCCCTTGGCCCGAAGACACATATTAGTTGGGGGTTTCATTCCTGAGCACTGAATACTAGAGAATCTTCCAGAAGAGGGGTGTAATATCCGACCATCCAGGTTTGAATTCAGTTTTATAACCTCCTAGCTGTGTGACCCTGGACAAATAATTTAACCTCTCTGAACTGCATTCTAGTCTTGTGCAATGAGTAAGCTTCAAACCTGTTTTTGTTTGTTTGTTTTTATCAGTTTCCCAGGTGCTGATGTAGGTTAAATGTTTGGCATGTGGTGGGCAGTTGCTATAAGTTACTGTCTGTGAACTGGGAGGTCTTGAGAGGAAGACCCAGTGTTCTTTGTAAATACCCCATAGAGGTAAGGTGAGGCTGGATGTGGAGATGACCGGTGGAGTGGCTGTGTGGGTGGATGGTGGATGGTAGACTGTGGAGGAGGAGGGTCTGCCCCAAAGCGCACATGGCTCTGTGCTCAGCCACCTGAAAAGTGTCTGAGATATACCATGCCAGAGTTACCCAATGGGTCGCTCATGGGGTACAGTGAAGCCATGCCTGGGCAATGTCAGCCAGTTTTGAGAATGTGCCAAGTTGACAGACCCTCCCACCTTCCCAGGAGCCCGCGGGTGTATTAGTGGGGCCCAGGGAGGCCGGTGTCTCTTTGTACTATGTATTAGAGTGGGGGAGTGGGGGAGTTGTCACACTCTGGGGCACAGGAATGCTGCTCCAGCCTGACCTGAGGGTCCGCCCCTGTGTTCCTAGCCGTTCCGAGGTGTAGGGACCACAGTGCTTTCTGGTCCTGTGTTGGGATATGCGGGTTCCAGGGTTGCACTGGAGAGGCCATGCATGACCTGCATAGGTGGCTGCCCGCCCCCGCTTCCTCCTCACCTGTTCAGGGATCCGCTTGGAGCAGAGCAGTAATTTCTGTGGTGGTTTCTCAGATGAGTTCTGGACAATGGACACCCTGTGAAGAGCAAACACCTCTGCTGTTACCAGGCCGGATATCAGGAGTTGCCGAGTGTTACCCATTCTAATTCCTAGCATACCCAGTGGCAAACACCCCCTCATCTAATGGCTCTAAACACTGTGTGTGCCGCTTCTCAGCATGCACCCAATGGGAATCCCAGCTTTCCAAGGTCCCTTTGGGGATCCCACTCCCGGCTCTAAGTGCTGTGGGATTGAGAGAGGAGGAAATGGTCCTTCATCGGAACACCTAAAAGCTACACAGGTCTCCTTCCACCCTGCAGTTTACCACTCCCCCGCCCTCCTGCCTCGGCCAGCCCAGAGCTGAGCTGGGACCAGTTCCACCCCTGCTCACCAGCTGCTCCTCCACACTGCAGGTATAGCACTGCAAGATCCAGATGCTGGGCACGGCCCTCTGGGCCCCGTCTGGTTTTCCCTTCCTTATCCTTGCCGCCCTCGCTCTCCTATGCATGCTTGTTGCCACAGTACTCACAGGCCTGTCTACATCAGGCCCTTGCATGTGGAGTTTCTCTGTTGGAAGCCCTCTTTTCACAATTCCTAACGCAAACTTGAGATGCTCCCGCCACGAGTCTCACTTCTAGTGCACAGCATAGCCAGCCTTTACCAATGCCCAGTCGCACACTGCCCAGCTCCTACATCAGAGGCTCTAGAGGTGAGATTGTGGCCCCAGGTGTCTCTATCCCATGCTTTCCTCACAGCGGCTTCCTTCCTTGCCAGATCTCCTTAGAATTCAGGGTCTTTGAGGGGTGTCCTGCACTTATCTCCTGCCCAAGACTCTACAAATGCCCAGGATGCAGTGAGCTCTGTGCACATGGGTGTGAGAACAAGGTAAGAGCTGGGGATCTGGAGAGCTCTGGACGGTCCCTTAGAAACACAGACCAACTTTGATCCTGCAGAAGCCACTGAACACCGAAAATGACATCACTGACCCCAGCATGGGGCACGAGCTTGAAACCCCAAAAGGATCAGAAATTCAAGGCTAGCCTTAAGTTACATAGCAAATTTGAGGTTAGTGCGGACTAAATGAAATCCTGTCCAAAAGAAGAGAGAAGGAAGAGGAGGAAATGCTGGGTTATTGCAATGGGAGTAAGTTGACTCCTACCAGGATTGGTTTTGAATCTCCTTTGAGTCTGAAAGCTGGGGAAAGCACAGATTCTCTTCCTAGGAAGAAGCATGAAGGAGGCAGAGGCAGGAAGATCTACAAGACTGAGGCAAGCCTGCCCTACACAGTAAATTCTAGACCAGCCAGGCGTACATAGTGAAATCCTTTCTCTAAAGGAAGTGCATAGGGTCTACACTTAGTGGTTAAAGGTGTGCACTGCTGCTGCAGAGGGCCAGTTTGATCCCTAGCCTTACGAGGGGTGGCTCACAAACAGCCCAGCCTGTATCTCCAGCTCCAAGGGTCTGGCATCTTCTTCTGTTCTCTTCGGACCCTGGCACTCACATGCACATACCCACATGCAGACATATAATGAAATATAAATCTTCACAAGTAAGTAAATAATATTGATGACTCAGCAGGGTACACACACTTGCTGTCAAGTGTGGTAACCTGAGTTAAACTCCAGGACCCACATGCTAGAAGGAAAAAGCAAACTCTTAGAGCTGTCCTCTGAGCTCCATGTGCATGCAGGGGTGCATGCACACATAATACAAATAAACAATTGCAAAGACAAACTTTTTTTTATTAATTCAACTCTTTTATCATTTATTCTTTTGGCAAACATCAGATAACATGAGCCAAGCTACCTTGCCTATAATAGTTACATTCTTGGTTTCACTTTTTATAGGCTGTAAGCATATGTAAGTGGACAAAACTCTTGGTTGAAGATACATTCCAGAATTTTGACATACACGTTTTCAATGCGGACTATAGAAAGCTTGTGGCATTCCCACTAGACCAGCAGCAGCAGCAAACTTAATTCACACACACTGTTTTTACATTAGCATCTGCCAGACTTTATTTTTCATTTAAAGCTAAAATGGTAGAAATTGGCCATACACTTATATCATAAATATACTGGCCATTTTAAAATAAAACATATACACAAAACCCAGAAATACATAATTAAGTATATTTCAATTCTCATCCAAACAACAAAACATTAATGAGTTATTTTAGACTATCTTTATTGAAAATGGAAGTTGCAGTAACTAAGTTTCACAATATTTTGCTTTAATTCTCAATGCTGATATTTTAACATGAAGATAACATTGCTTCAAAATAAACTCAAAGCATTCAATTCTCAACTTCATTCTTTTGTAAATTTCAGAGGAAAACCAACAGATCAGAAGTAACAAAGCAGGCACCCTTTAGAAGGCCCTATGCAGGAGACGGAGGATGTCTTGTCTGATGGAGTGCCCTGCGGACCAGCCTGCCACAGTGGTCCTGCTCTAACACCACACGCCCATTATTCACTCCCAGACAGTATTCACGATCAAAAGCCCAAATACAAACGTGATGCTCAATCTTATTATATTTCTGACTTGGAAAAACAGATTAAACCAAAAAGCTTCATTTTCATGAATTTGTTTTGTTGGTGCAAGAAATTGCACCTCGAGCCTCTCGCATGATAAGCATGAGCTACACCCCATGCCATGGCGCTGTGCTGCAGAACAGCAGACTCGCTTATGCAGGAGGGTCACAGCCACATTCTCCTTCCATTGTCACTGCCCCAGTTTGTCCTAACAAGAGCTCTGCTGTGCTCGCTTTCTAGGATTCAGAGAAAGCCTTGGCTGTAGGTTTGCTTGCTCCATGTTGTATCACTTTTATTCACTCAAATGTTTAACTATTATATTGTGTGTGTAGGTAAAGTTGAAGGCCACTGTTGAGGAGCCGAGCTGAAAGTCAGTCCAGAACAGATCTCTGTGGACTGACTTAGGTAACTAGGACTCCAACTCTCTTCTAACAGTGCTCTTTGTATAAGAGTCGTAAAGACAAACTTTAAGATAAATACATCAATAATAGATTTCTAAAGTGCTCGATGGCATGCTTCCACCCAGTTTCCAAGGATTGCCAGTGCTGGAAAGCCCGTGTGGGACCTGAGTGTCTGTCTTCCGCATCACCCAACCCCTCCAGAGCTGTGTGTGCTCCATCTTGGCTGTACACTGGAACTGTCCTGAAGTTCCCCAAGGCCAGAGATCCTGATGAACTGTGCAATCAGGGTCAGGTTTTTAAGCTCTCCGGATGGAACAGGTTGAGGTGCACTCAAGGGTCCAGGCAGGGCATCTTGCTCCTATGTGGGTCAGGCCTGAGTTTCCTGGTGCCACGGTAGCTGGGCAGGAGCAAGTGACCAGTGTCATGCCATTCTCCCACCCCTCTGCTTTTCCTCACCCTTCCAGCAGTTCATTTCCCTCCAGTCTCTCAGCCCAGAGCAATGTCATGAGAGCCATCCTGGACATCGCTGTCTCTTCTCTGGAGGGCCCAGACAGAGTGAGAGGCACAAGCCACACAGCCAGGCCAGTGCACAACAGAGTCCCATCAATACACAAGTTTATGCCTCAAGAGGCCGCACGGGCCACTTCCTGCCAGCTGTGTAGCGGGAACCACCTCCTTGCCTATGCTGTGGCGTTCCCACCACTGAAACGAGCTGAATAGTGAGCCCCACGAAGCCTGTGGGAGCTGGGGAGGCGACCGGCACTCACTGTCAGAGTCAATGGCAATGATAATTGAAGTTGGACAACAGTCAGAAACCACTGGAAGCCTGCCACAGCCTCTGATGGGCACCCACCCTTTAAACTTCTACCCACTGGCCCTGGCCTGCTTGGAAGCAAGGTGGGGGTGGATCCCCCAAGAAGGGAGACCTCTATTATCCCCATGGGAGAGCAGGTCTGGCTGAGGCCCTTGCAGGCTGGGAAGTCTGGCAATCATTCCCAATGAGAGCGGCCTGCTAACACATGGTAGAACATGGAGGGAGAAAAACAGCCTCGCTTCAGGGCCCTGGAGACCACCTGGTCCAGCCTGGTCCCACAGGCTGGTGTCTGGCACAGGTCCCCAGCCTCTGGACTTTGTCCTGATCATTCGTGGGTGGAGACTGGAGATGGTGGTTGTGTCTGTAGGCACCAGTGTGTTCTAATTATCTGTGCAGCCGACTTTGGATTACTGGCTTTTGACCTTTCGTTATCTTAGTTTTCAATCTCTGGTTGTACTTTCGGTTGTAGTTGCTGTGTTAAAATAAAAGAAGGAAAAACAAACAAACACTTGTTGCTCTGGCAACCGGAGAAGCATGGGGCCATAAGGCAGTCTGGGAGTTCAGGTTCCCTGGAAGACCTCTTGGGAACCTGCTCTGCTTCCTAGCTGCGGTGTGACCTGGAGAGGAGAGTTCCCAAACCTCACAGGGCCCTGATGGGTCTCCCCTCCAGCAGAGCAGCGCTTGCGGGAGCCTGTCGCACTGAATGCTGGGGGATAAGAAGAAGCAGTGGAAGCTTGAACACAAGTGCTGTCTCCCCTAGCATCCCACATGTTTACTCACAGGATTCCAAAGTCCAGTCACCTGACTCCATTAGCCAGACCAACAGGTTCCCACTCGCCAACACCTAAACACTGTGGCTCCGAGATGACAAGCTTTAGCCTGTCATCTGCCACCACAACTTCTCATTGAAGCTCCATAACAAGCTTATAGTTAAAGCACTTCCCCCATTCCGCAGATGGAGAAACTGAGGCTCAGAGGTGCAGTGACTTGCCTAAGGCCACCCAGTGACTAAGGCAGCATTCCTTTCTTACCTGATGCTATGTTACAAGTTGGTGGAGGCCCCACCTAACCCTTCCTCACCCCTGTCTACCCCCAGACCCCTTTCATTCTGACCCAGCTCCCAAACGGTGACTGTTGGCTTCCAGTCAGGGAAGGAGACCAGATCTTCTATTCTTGGTCAGGATGTCCCTTTAATTTGACCACTGAGGCCTATAGAGGTGGCTCTTCTTGCATTTTGCTCTAAAACCTGAGCAATGTCACTGAAGGAACCTTGGTTGAAGGAGAGGCT